CTTGGCTATTGTAAATAGTGCAGCAATAAACATAGGGGTGCACCTGTCTTTTTCAAACTAGAGTGCTGCATTCTTAGGGTAAATTCCTAGAAGTGGAATTCCTGGGTCAAATGATATTTCTATTTTGAGCATTTTGAGGAACCTCCATACTGCTTTCCACAATGGTTGAACTAATTTACATTCCCACCAGCAGTGTAGGAGGGTTCCTCTTTCTCCACAACCTTGCCAACATTTGTTGTTGATTGTCTTTTTGATGATGGTGATCCTTACTGGTGTGAGGTGATATCTCATTGTGGTTTTAATTTGCATTTCTCTGATGACAAGCAATGTGGAGCATCTTTTAATGTGTCTTTTGGCCATCTGAATTTCTTCTTTGGAGAATTGTCTCTTCATATCCTATGCCTATTTTTTAATCATGTTATTTGCTTTTTGGGTATTGAGGCATATCAGTTCTTTATATATTTTGGATGTTAAGCCCTTTTCAAATATGTCATTTATGAATATATTCTCCATACTGAGGATATCATTTTGTCCTACTGATGGTGTCCTTTGCTGTACAGAAGTTTTTAGATTGATACAGTCCTATTTGTTCATTTTTATTTTTGTTTCCCTTGCCCAAGGAGATGTGTTCAGGAAAAAGTTGCTCATGGTTATAATCAAGAGATTTTTGCCTATGATTTCTTCTAAGAGTTTTATGATTTCATGACTTACATTCAGGTCTTTGATCTATTTTGAGTTTACTTTTATGTATGGGGATAGACAATAACCCAGTTTCATTCTTTAACATGTAGCTGTCCAGTTTTGCCAGCACCAGTTGTTGAAGAGGCTGTCATTTCCCCATTGTATATCCATGGCTCCTTTATCATATATTAATTGGCCATACATCTGTGTGTTTATATCTGGGCTTTCTATTCTGTTCCATTGATCTATGGGTCTGTTCTTGTGCTAGTACCAAATTGATTTGATTACTGTGCTTTCATAGTAGAGCTTGAAGTCAGGGAGCAGAAACCCCCGAGCTTTATTCTTCTATCTCAGGATTGCTTTGGCTATTCAGGCTCTTTTGTGGTTCCATATGGATTTTAGAACTATTTGTTCTAGTTTTTTGAAGAATGCCATTGGTATTTTGATAGGGATTGAATTAAATCTGTAGATTGTTTTAAGCAGGATAGCCATTTTGACAATATTAATTCTTCCTATCCATTTTCACAGGATGTATTTCCATTTATTGGCATCTTCTTTAATTTGTCTCATGAGTGTCTTGCAGTTTTCAGGGTATAGGTCTTTCACCTACTTGGTTAGGTTTATTCCAAGATATTTTATTCTTTTTGATGCAATTGTTAATGGAATTGTTTTCCTGATTTCTCTTTCTGCTAGTTCATCATTAGTATATAGGAATGCAACAGATTTCTGTGTATTGATTTTGTATCCTGCATCTTTGCTGACTTTGGTTATTAGTTTTGGTAGTTTTGTTGTGTATTCTTTAGGGTTTTTTATGTACAACATCATGTGACCTGCAAACAGTGACAGTTTAACTTCTTCCTTACCAATCCATGCCTTTTATTTCTTTGTATTGTCTGACTGCTGTAGTTAGGAACTCCAGTACTATGTTGAATAAAAGTGAGGAGAGTGGGGGGGCATCCTTGTTTTGTTCCTGATCTTAATGGAAAAGATTTCAGCTTTTCACTGTTAAGTATGATGCTTGCTGTGGGTTTGTCATATGTGGCCTTTATTATGATGAGGTACTTACCCTCTACATCCAATTTATTGAGTTTTTATCATGAATGGATGTTGAATTTTATCAAATGCTTTTTCAGCATCTATGGAGATGATCATAAGATTTTTGCCCTTTTTTTCTGATGTTCTGTATGATGTTGATAGATTTTTGAATACTATAACAGCCTTGCATTCCTGGATTAAATACTAGTTGATCATGATGGATGATCTTTTTGATGTATTTTTTAACTCAGTTTGCAAATATTTTTTTGAGTATTTTGCATCTATGCTCATCAGGGATATTGGTCTGTAATTTTCTTTTATGTGGTGTCTTTGCCTGGTTTTGGTATTAGAGTGATGCCAGCTTCATAATGAGTTTGGAAGTATTCCCTCCTCTTTTACTTTTTGGACAACTTTAAGGAGGATGGGTATTAGGTCTTCACTAAATGTTCTGGTAAAATTCACCAGTGAAGCCATCTGGTCCAGGTATTTTGTTCTTACATAGTTTTTTGGTTAACAACTCAATTTCATTGCTTGTAATTGGTCTGTTCAGATTTCCTGTTTCTTCCTAGGTCAGGCTTCGAAGGTTGTATCATTCTAGAAAGTTGTCCATTTCTTCTAGGTTATCTAGTTTGTTAGCATATAATTTTTCATAGTATTCTCTAATAATTCTTTGTATTTCTGTGGTATCCATAGTGATTTTTCCTTTCTCATTTCTGATTCTGGTTATGTGTGTAGACTCTCTTTTTTTCTTGATAAGTCTGGCTAGGGGTTTATCTATTTTGTTTATTTTATTGAAGAACCAATTCTGCTTTCATTGATTCTTTCTATTGTTTTATTGTTCTCAATTTTATTTATTTCTGCTCTAATCTTTATTATGTCCCTCCTTCTGCTGACTTTGGGCCTCATTTCTTCTTCTTTTTCTAGTTTAATTAATTATGAGTTTAGACTATTCATACGGGATTGTTCTTCTTTCCTGAGGTAAGTCTATATTGTTATAGAGTTCCATCTTAGCACAGCCTCTGCTGTGTCCCACAGATTTTGTGGTATTGAGTTACTGTTGTCATTTGTCTCTATATATTGCTTGATCTCTGTTTTTATTTGGTCACTGATCCATTGATTATTTTGGAGAATGTTGTTAAACCTCCATGTGTTTGTGGGCTTGTTTGGTTTTTTTTTTTTTTTTGCTTTATTTATTTCTAGTTTCATACCTTTGTGGTCTGAGATGTTGGTTTGTACAATTTCAATCTTTTTAAATTTACTGAGGCTGTTTTTGTGGCCTAGTATATGATCTATTCTTGAAAATGTTCCATGTGCACTTGACAGGAATGTGTATCCTGCTGCTTTTGGGTGGATAGTTATGTATATGACTGTTAGATCTATCTGTTCTAATGTGTTGTTCAGTGCCTCTGTCTCCTTACTTATTTTCTGTCTGGGTGATCTGTCCTTTGGAGTGAGTGATATGCTGAAGTCTCCTAAAATGAATGCATTGCATTCTATTTTCCCCTTTAATTCTGTTAGTATTTGTTTCACATATGTAGGTGCTCCTATATTGGGTGCATAGATATTTATAATGCTTATAGCTTCTTGTTGGACTGACTTCTTTATCATTACATAATGTCCTTCTTTGTCTCTTCTTACTTTCTTTGTTTTGAAGTCTATTTTTTCTGATACAAGTTCTGAAACTACTGCTTTTTTTCTCCCTATTTTTGCATGAAATATCTTTTTCCATCCCTTCAGTTTTAGTCTGTGTACATCTTTGGGTTTGAAGAGTCTCTTGTAGGCAGCATACAGACAGGTCTTGTTTTTTAATCCATTCAGTTACTCAGTGTCTTTTGACTGGTGCATTCAGACCATTTGCACTCTTCTGGCCTGTAAGTTTATGTTGAGAAGGCTTATGATAGCCTGATGGGTTTTCCTTTGTATGTGA